GGCTCGGTCGGGCTGCCCACGTCCTCCTGAATTACACCCCTGGGTATAAAAAGTTTTCGCAGCTTCCCCCGCTTTTCGAGCCTTCTCGGTGGTCTGAGCTTTTTGATCGGGCGACGGGGGAAGAAGTCGAGGAGAACTTGGAAGAAGACCCTGATCGGGCCTCGGAGGCTGAAGTTGAGGGTGAGGCAGAAGAGCTCGGGGTTGGAGAGGACTTGGTTCCTTCGCAGGCCGAGGTGGGGACTTCGGGGAGAGATTCCTGATCGGACTTCCAAATCCTACAATCTCTCGACGTCGAGGACGCCCTTGAGGTAGCAATGTCCGGCGCGCCCCGTATTGATTTAGGGTTCCTCAGGCAGAGGCAAGCCCTCGCTGCTGGGAGGGGACGAGGATCGGCCGGTGGGACCCCATCTACAGGGACCAGTGCCACCCCCTCCTCAAGAGTCATCAGTCGGGGTCAGGTCCGTGACCGAGATCCTCAGATAGAGGAGGAGAGGAGGGTCAAACATAGGCACGACGACCTTGGGAGGGGGTCCAGGGCCTCCCCCGCTCAACAGCAAAGTGGGAGAGGCCGTGGGTTACCTCCTGCTCCTCAACAACAACAACTGCAGCGACAACAACAACAGCAACAGCAACAGCGGCGACAGCAGACTCCTCCTCTTCCGCAGACAGTGGAAGCTGCGGAGTGGAACCCTCGAGCCACTGATCACATGGACCGAGTGATCAGAGTCGACAGTTCCATTTTGCAGGACCCTCATGTTGCTAATGCAGTGAGTGAGATGCTGCATTTCGAGGCCGACATGGCGGCTCACAGGGGGCGATCAACAAACGTGTTGTTTCGCTCCATCATCCAAAATTCCTTGGTGGTAAGTTCATCTTTGCTTCAGTCTCTTTTAGCTCCAGTTTTCCTTTTAGTGACATGCTCTTTTATTCGCAGGCCACCCAACAGATTTCCATAATAGTGGCGCGGTACCATAGGACTAGGATGGACCTTCAGCGGGTTCGAGAGCAGAAGGAAGAAGCCGAGGGAGCCCTTGCCAGTGCTAAGGAGGATGTCGCTGCAAGGGATTCCACCCTCGCCGGGCAGGCTGCTCAAATCGAGCAACTCCTCAAGGAGGCCGAGTTGGCGAAGGTCGGCGCTGAAAAGCTAAGTGCTGCCCTTGCCGACGCTGAGAGGAGGATAATAGAACAGACGCAGCGGCTTCTATAGAAGTGACCCACCTACATGGTGAGCAAAAGGCAATTCCAGAGAGAATCATTGCTAAATATTCTTGGCATGACCCATCCCATTTGAAATGGTTGATAAGTTAATAAACCTTTTACAACTCTTGGTTTGAGACCAGAAAAGTGAGTCTCAGAGCTATGATATTTGGAAGTTAGAGGATGTAACGAGAACCCATCGGATCACCTTGGCGAGGTGGACGACACTGTAGTCCGAGAAGATAATAAATGTTCTAACTGTTTGATTGATGAGATTTTTTTGCTTCTTATAAATGGCGCCAAACCATTGACCCAAAAAATGAAGTGACCTCCATGTCAGATCGTTGGACCCCGATCACCTGAAAAAAAAAAAAAGTTAGAGACTAGAGGAAAAGCTCGTAAGATTGACCGTTCGATGTTTAAGTCAATAAAAGACTCAAAGGTCAAAGGTATTCAATTCTTTAAAAAATTGAGAGTCAAGATAGGGTCGTTCACATGAAAGAAAAAAAATAAATATTTGCTTCCCTTCTTTCTCTTTTTCCCTCAAGAAAGAGAAAGAGGGTCTTATGGAGGGAGAGGGGAGGGGAAAGGCTTGAGCCTAACTATTTGAATGACATAATTGTCTGATTTTTTTCTCGATCCTCAAAAAAAATTGACTCCTCCACCTCCTCCTTTATTCTTTAGATAGAATAGGATCGTCGTTGGTCCTTTTTTTACTATTGATCTTACCATTTTCTAGTAGTTCGTACGAGAGAGACTATCCTATTTATCGTTTGTCCTTACTTTTCACTCTCAAGACAAAGGTCTCTCTCTTCTATAAAGCAAAACAAAGCGTGAGTCTATTTTCTTCTCTCTTTTTTCGCCCTTATAAATTATTAAATGAAAAAGGTAAAAAACAAAATCAATCCAAACCGAGCACACCAAGAACATCATATATCTGACCATGAAGATGAATCAATCTACCTTTATATCTTCTTGTTGCACAAACAAAAAAGAAGGAAAATGAAATGATGGATGCACAACGCTCCCTTCGCTAGAAGACAGGAATAAGTTAGGTCAAATGAAGGGACCCACCATGCCTCTCCCATTCCCATGGCCAAGCGCATCTTTCAGTTAATGCTTCGACCATTGCCTTCCCTTCCCTATGGATAGAATTTCATCCACCTGGAAGAGTACCTCAGAATTCTAGTTCTCGAAAATGATTAACTAATACAAAGAAAAAGGGTAAGATGTATACCTTGGGTACCGGTTGGATTTGAATTTATAGGAGCTTTAATGATAGAGTTGTACCAAGATTAAGGCTATCAAAATTCGACACGACACGACTAATCAACACGAATTAAGCAGGTTTGGATGAGATTTTAATAGGTTTGGATGATAAATGGATTGACACGCTAAGCACGTTTAATAAACGGGTCGTGTTCGGATGAGATCTGTCAAATCATTTATCACATATTTACCTGTTTAAATAAAATTAATAAAATAATAAATTAATAATTATTTTAAAAAATTAGCAAGAAAGAAAGAAGTAAAGAAATCAATTAAAAAAAAAGTAAAGTAATAGTTCAAAGACAAAAGAGATGAGATGAGAAACACTTCAAAGACAAAGGCAAACCAATGTCTTTTATTTTTGTCTCACATTGGAAAATGAGGGGAGATGGGGAGGGTTGAGTTGCCTATAAAAAACAATGGCCTCTTACTTTTTTTTTTTAAACCTTCAAGTCTTATTTTTATGAGATTTGGATAAAAATTCTTCTTTTTTGAGATAAGTGCAATTGGTAATAAAAAAAAGTTGAATATTAAAATTTATTAATATAATTTTTTAAAAATTAAACGAGTTAAACGAGTCGTGTCGTGTTACCTATTTATTAAATGAGTCGCGTTCGTGTTAAAATTTTTTACCCGTTTATTAAACGTGTCGTGTACAGGTTTATATATTTTTTACTTATTACTCGTTTAACTCAACACATAACCTCTTAACCTGATAGGTTCGACACCATTAACCAAGATTGGAGTCCTGCTTGCTAATCCCCATTTTGAATAAGATTATGATATTATCACATCATTTATTTATCTATAGGATTTGAATTTATCCCATGTGCGGTATTCAAATGCCCTAATTCTATTCGAATTAACACACTTCCAAGATGGGTTTGATTGATAATTCAACAGAGTTAGAATTTATGATAGCTCAATTTTTCCTCCATCACTGTTTATAAAAGAGTTTAAAAAAAGTTGAAATTCAAATTACGTATAAAAATAAAAATTATACGAAGGCATAAGAATATAATTGATTTTATAAAATTAAGCTATTAATACACGACGTTCGTTTTGTGAAAAAAATGTTGAGTTCCTATTTTGGATATTATTATAAAGTCAATGATACCCGTATATTACATACATTCATTTCATTTTTATTTTTTATACTTTGACTTTTAAGTTCTTTTAGATTTTTTTGTTAAAAATATTGAACTTCGAAATTCTTCTAAACTCATTTATTTGTAGTACACTTGCATATAATTTTTTATATCTAAACTTATATTTATATGAATAAATAAAGTCAAATATATATTCTATTATTATATACATGTAGTTGTGAGATTGGATTCTATGGTTTAATATATATCTTATTTGATTTTTTGGTAGGAAATAATATCATGTTATTATAATACAAATAAGAGTAAAGCAATTTAATAAATCTCTTTGATAAAAATATAATAAATCAAGAATATCATTGAATGTGCAAATAATTAGTAATGAAAATCTTACAGTAAAGTTTCATTATAAACAAAAGAGAAAATGACGAGTGTCTCATATTCACTAGGCAATGTATATCTAATAAAGTAATTTTATTCAGATTGGGTGTATTAGATCAAGTGCGTAGTGAATATGAGACACCCTCAATAATTAGATTTAGTAATAATTAAAACAAAAATTAATAATTCAATACACAATTTATTATTTAATTTAACTAAATAAATGATTTAAATTTATATAAAAAAATATTATTTAAATATAGTCGCGTGACTCTCTAGTTTAATAAGTTATTTACAATCACAATCACTATCTTTGTTGTTTACGATCACAATCGTTATAACAAAAAAATACGCTCTCTAACACGGTTTAGCCGCCATACTCCTAACAGTCCAGAAATTCACCCCTATGGATAAGCATCACTCTTGATTCATACACGTTATTGGCTCGTTCTCTCTCTCTCTCTCTCTCTCTCTCTCTCTCTCTCTCTCTCTCTCTCTCGTGATGGGCTTCCCTTATAGGGAAACAAAACAAGGGATGAATAACAAAATAAGGGACGTTCGTGATGGGTTACCGAAACAATGATGAATACTTCCCAAAAAGGAATAATAATGATCTTCAAGAGATACTTAGTTATCCCAAGGCAACATATCAGAATGTGCCACTTTGGGAGACTCCCAAGAAGAAGTAGTAGTGTCCTGCAAAATTTGGAAATGGAATTCATTGGAAGCAAGCTAGAAACTACTTGGCAGCGCGTGATTACCCGGACATTAACAATCTTAATTTGTTTCCTAGTCCTAACTCAATTGGAAGTGTTTCAGTTTTGACCTACTTTGGTCTCAATATTAAAGGGATCTCTTCCAGCCATTATCTGATCAGATACCATGATCATCATATGCTCTCTTGATGCTTTTGAAGACATAGAATGACAGAAACAATAAGAAGAGAAAGCTGGTATATACTGCTCTGCAAAAATTGAGTTACTGAGGTCTGCAATAAAGCCTTCTAACTCTAAAGCTTTCATATCCTAGTTTAACCAACAGAGAAACATGCGGGCGATTAATCCAAGAAACACACAGCACACAAATCAAGTTCTCGATGATCAATCGGGGCAGGACTGCAATGCACCCATTGCGAATCAGGGGAGTAACCATCGACTTCCCCACCACCATTCTGGAGACCAACACTGTTTTTCTAATTCTACCAATACTGTGAGCAATGGCAACAACTTGCCTCCATTGCATCACATTCCTATATTACCTGTCTCTGCGGCTCTTTCTAATGGAGATGACCGATTTTACTATGGTGGATTCAACTTCTATGATTATCACGGCCCTCCTTCATCAGCAAACCCTCCTCCACCAACCTTTGATACATCAACCACTGAGAATAACCATAACCAATACGTCGAGCATCAGAATCATGGCACCACAGAGCCTGTATACTGGTGACACGAGCCCATCAGATAATATTAGTGTTAATGGCATAAGTACCGATATTATGCCCATTGCCCAATACGCCAACCTCCCCACGAAGCAATATCTGGAACAGTATACTGCTAGATGTAAGTTCTTTAATTTGTTTTTTCTGATTTTTTCCTATCATCCAATTTGTTATTGTTCTCTCTTTCCAGTTCACATTCTTATGCATGAAGATTAAGTAAGTATGGTCAAGGTGGCAAGATTGCCGGTTGAAAATTTTGATATAGTTGGCTTTTTTCTACAATTTTCCGAAGACATGTCTAATGAGGTAAGTTCCCTGAGTTCCGAAAACTATTTCATTGAAAAACTCATGGATACTAATAGGAACTGAACCATTATGGCAAGGGAGTACAATAAAAATTGTCTACATATAATCAGGCTTGAATATGTTCTTTTTCGTGAATTCGCCTTCTAAGAGTTTCATTCATCTTTGATATTACATCTGTACTGTTTTCTCCTTATGAAAGAAACCATTAATTATCACATAATTAGGTTAGGGACACTTATGGTTCACCCAAAATCAAGATTTTTAGAAAAAATTGTTTTGTAACAGTTTTTCTAATGGACCGACTACCCAATAATATTGCAAATCACAGGAGGTGCAGCTACTAGTAGAACAAATGAGCCAGGTCGACGAACCGTTGTCAGATGGAACTGTGCGTGCAAGATCCTGCACAATATAAAAAATATTGGGAACAGATCTCTCCCCTGGTGAACTCTGAGTGAGCCGGTTGAGTGGCCAAACACGCTGCTTGACACAGCCTGCAAGGTATGGTGGCAACCTGGAACGGCAAAAGAGGATCCTGGGAAAGGAAGAACTATCCTGTATGTCTGAAGGGTTGTCTTGGAATAAAGAGGAAACAAGTTAGAAGGGTGCCGGAGTGTTTTCCGGCGTATCCCCTCTGACGGTCTAGTCAGTCTTTGAATGAGAGAGAGGAAGAAGAAAACACTGAGAAAGTCTATATTGTAGTAGAGAGTTTGTCATTGCATACCCGCTTTGCCTTTTGGGAGGAGTATTTATACCTTAGAAGCTCATGATTGCTGTCAGTGTGGTCAGTAGGTGATCATCAGGCACAGGTAGCGTGTGTATTGATTTGATGAGGAATGTCTTCTCTAATTGACTGCTCGGGGTCCCGAGCAATCAATCCTGAGTCGTCGGGACGCCGACGGTACAATATGCTCCTTTCGGGAAGGATGCAATAAATGCTCTGTAACAGGAGCATTTATTGCCTTTCATATCCGAACCTTACCGCATTGAATGCGGTCTCGTCAACAGAAGGGTGCAATTAATTGTTTGCTTTCCAAAGCGCGTGTCAGCAACAGCATGCGGTTTGTCTGTGTTTTGATGTGATATCATATGCCACGCGTCCATCACGTATTGGCTATGACTTCTGTATTCCAGCATGTTCTGACATTACTTGTGTAAGACGAGGTCATGATGAATAGTCTAGACTGGCATAGGCTGATGTCCCGTACGTCAGTAGCTTTATCTGGGAGTAGAGGAAGCGTTCAGGATGGAGTGACCCTCGGCACCGAGGAAAGGCTCACCTCGGGGACCGAGGGTGGTATGTTTCCGAGGTACACGGTGACCGAGGACACGTGTTGTTGTATAATACACCGAATGCGTGATCCTATATGAGAGGTACCTCGGGGTAAGGACGTTCTTCGCCGATGGTGCTTACATCCGGGCAACACTGTTTTCCAAAAAACCCGAGGACACGTGTCTTCATCTTAGGGCTTTTCAGAAGAGTCCCATCAACTGCCCCCCAGCCTTCGATCTTCTGACACCGAGGACACGCGTTGTAAGGAGACGAAGGGTTTTCCAACTGCCATCCGTCCTTCATTATGGCCTCGAGCAGCTTTCCCCGGCTTGGGACGTCGTGCGCATTAAATGCGCTGTTTTGGTTCTCCCGCCCAATGATGACAATTTCCCCCTATATAAAGGGGGTTCTTCTCTGGTTTCCATCGTTTTGCCATTCCGATCTTTGACCCAGAATACGCCTTTCCTGATCTGTTCGCCGGAGTCTTGTTTCCTCTGCCATCGTCGACTGCTCTTTCTCTCAAAATCACAGAGCCAGTAAACCCATTGTTGACTCCTGGACTTTCCGGTGCGAGTCATTTTAAAGTTTTTCCTGAAAAACTCCTTTTCGACGTTTCGGGTGAGTTTCACAACCTTCTTCTTTATCGTCCTCCTAGCCTTTTTGTTTTCCGATTGAACGGTGGTGTCATCCGGTCACGTCTTGATTTAAACCCTCGGGGAACTTCCTCAGGTTTTCAAGAGTAAATACCTTTTTCTTCCTTTTCTTTTAGAGATGCCTCGTCGTCGCCCTGCTCCCGAGAATCCACCGGCTGGTCCCTCGGGGTCAGGGAAATACAAGGTGAAAGGCGAGGAGCAGATCGATAGGTTCAGGGTTAAGTATGGCATTCCCCCGAGTGTAGACGTAGTGGATTTTAACCCATTGTTGAACTCTCCTACCTTCGGGGCCGCGGATGCCATGCCTTTCTATACCAAGGCCATCATAGAGGGTGGAATTAGGTTTCCTTTACCCCCCCTGCTTCTTCAGTTCCTGTCTCGCTTTCGTCTCTTCCCGGGCAATGCTGCCTCAACGTCTTTCGAATAATCATGGGGGTCTTAGAGCTCAATAGGCGCCTCGGGGTGAATATTGGGCTCAATGATCTCCTTTTCTGTTACTCCCTCCTAAGAGTCATGCCTCACCAACACTTCTACCTCAAAGCCAGGGACCCCTCCATGTACCTTGTAACCCATCTTCCTGACTCGGACAAGGGGTACAAGGACGACATCTTAATCTTCAAGGGATGTTGGCAGAGGGGTGTTGGTCCCGAGTACAATGACTTATTTTGCCCTCTGGAATGGAGAACGACAAGTACGTCGGTTCCTTCGGGTTCTTTATTTGTTTCTCGGGACTTCTCATGTTTATGACAATTTTTTGTTGTGCAGATATTCCTTCTCGGGAAACAGCTCCACCTCCTCGGTCGCTGGTGAACTTTGCCGACCTGATCACGGTTTGGAGTTTCACGGGTGCCGACGGGTTGGCCGAGCTGCTCATAATCTGCTGTCTATACCCCCGGGTATAAGAAGTTTTCACAGCTTCCTCAACCTTTCGAGCCTTCGCAGTGGTCAGAGCTCTTCGATCAGGCGGCGAGGCTAGAGGTCGAGGAAAACTTGGAGGAAGACCCGGATTGGGCTTCAGAGGGAGAGGTAGAGGGAGTTGCTGAGGAGGTCGGGGTCAGAGAGGACGTTGCTCCTTCGGACGCCGAGGTGGGGACTCCGGGAGGCGACTTGTGGCCCGACTTTCAAATTCTTCAATCTTTGGACGCCGAAGACGCTCTCGAGGAAGCGATGTCCAACGCTCCTCGCATTAATTTGGGTTTCTTAGGCAGAGGCAAGCCCTCGCAGCCGGGAGAGGTCGAGGGACGACGGCGCGGTACTCCGGCAGGAACCAGTTCTGCCACTTCTTCGAGGGCTCCCGGTCGGGGTCAGGTGCGAGAGCGGGATCCTCAGGTGGAAGAGGAGAGAAGGGTCAAGCATCGGCATGACGGCCTGGCCGGGGATCAGGGCACCTCCCGCTCAACAGCAAAGCGGGAGGGATCGTGGATTACCCCCTGCTCCCCCACAACAGCCGCAACAACAACAGCAGCCCCGACAACAACAGCAGCAACTACAGCAGCAACCGCAACAGCAGCAACAACAACAGCCGCGGACTACTCCTTCCATCCTGCCTACGGTGGAGGCCGCGGAGTGGAATCCCGAGCCACTGATCACATGAACCGAGTGATCAGGGTCGATGATTCCATTCTGCAGGATCCTCATGTCGCCCATGCAGTGAGTGAGACATGCATTTTGAGGCTGACATGGAGGCTCATCGGGGGCGATCAACCAACGTGTTGTTCCGCTCCATCATCCAGAACTCCCTGGTGGTGAGTTATTTTTGCTTTGGTTCCTTCACTCCTGCTTTCCCTTTCTGTGACTTGACACTTTTTCTTCCTTTGCAGGCTACCCAGCAGATTTCTATCATTGCTGCTCGGTACCATGCGTCCAGGATGGACCTCCAGAGGGCCCGGGATCAGAAGGCGGGGGCGGAAGCGGCCCTTGCTCGGGCAACGGAAGATGTTGCTGCCAGGGATTCTACCCTGGTGGGGCAGGCTGCCCAAATAGAGCAGCTCCTCAAGGACGCCGAATCGGCCAAGGTGGGCGCTGAAAAAACTAAGTGCCGCACTTGCCGATGCTGAGAGGAGGATTACCGAGCAAACGCAGCGGCTTCTGCTGCGGAGGAGAGGGCAGTGGGCTCCGAGGAAAGCTGTCTGGCCCTTACCCAGGAGCTAGACAGGATCAGGGCCGAGGAGCTGAACCGGAAGTCGGAGGAACAACTCCTGGAGGAGTTTGCCGATGACGTGCTCCCCGCTCTTGAGGAAAACAGCAAAGAATTCTTCAAGAAAGGGTGGGACGAGGCGCTCCAGGCTGCTGGAGTCCCATCAGACTCCCCTCTCTTCCAAGTGCACAAGTATGTGCCCTCGGCAGAGATGGCACAGGCAGAAGCACAGGTTGCTGCCGAGGATGAAGCCCCTACGCCGATGCAGACTCTCGGCTGATGCTCCGAGACGGTGATAGTGGACTTGTCCGAGGACGCTCCGTCGGACCTTGCTCCTGAACCTCAAGCTGCTCAAACTGTTCAAGCTGTTCCCGCTGCCGAAGTTCTTCTCCTGCCCGCTCCAGAAGCTTCTCAACCATTTATCGCTGACTCGCCTCGGCCGAAGTTCTGGAGGTGCCTGGAGCCCGATGAAGCGCTTTTCACTTCCCCTTTTTGTACCCCTTCTGCTTTCCTTTTGTAGCCTCGGGGACGCAAAGCCCTATTTTTGGAAATAAATAACAAGTTTTTTCCTTTCCTTCTTCTGTGTACAGTAGTGTTTTGCTTTTCTTTACTTCTGTGTAGAATAAATCATAAGT